ATTACCTGGTAGCTTTCCTGCTAAAAGCACGCAAGCACCACAGGGTACTGGTAGCTTTACATTGGATCATTATATCTTCAAGACCACGTTGGACCTAGGTTATGTTTGTGCGTTCTGCGTTCGCCAGGTCCATCCAGGCCGCTCCAAAGCTGGTGGTGGTTTAGCATCAGCATCATGACCGTTGGGCTACACCTTCGGGTTACGTATTGTACAAGACGTGAGGACACTGACAAGTTACGTCCATCCCAGCTAGCAACGACACGCACCTTACAGAACGACACAGTTGCTTTGCGCGGACGAGGCTGCTGGACATACGCTAGACGCCTTGATGCATTTAATATGTTACCGAACCCTGGTTTCCAACAACCCAGGCCAAACAGACCTAATATAAGGTACGAATGCGACGCGCATTCAACCCTCAAGCCTCCCCATCTTCCATCTCATCATCCCCCTTCCCTCCAGTCCCTCCACTCCCTCCAGTCCCTGCCGTCCCCGCCCCCAACTGTCCCAACAACCCCCTCTTATCCACAACCATCGCCCTCTGCAGCTCCCTCTCCTCCTCTCTTAACCTCGCCCGCTCAAACGCCACCTTCTTCTCCTGCTTCCTCTTCTCCTCCGCTACCGCCCTCTCCCGATCCCGCAGCGCCTTCTCCCTCTTCCTTCTATCCTCCTGCGCCTTGCGCTGTTCCGCAGATATATCCTCCCCTGCGGCGCCCTCACCAGACGGTGGAGGCGGGAGATCGACAATGTACGCTTCGATAAAAGGGTCGCGGATCGAAGCGGGGAGGGAGATGTACCGAATGTCGGAGAGGACTTGGGACGGGAGGTTTGACGCGTGTGACTGGTTGTTGAGCTGGGATATTGGGATGGACTCGAGGAGTTTCTTGAGATCGGACTTGAGCGTGGATTGTGGGAGTTTTAGACGGTTGATGTGCTCGCGGTACCACTTTTCACGGTCCTTGTCGGAGAGCTTGGGGTCTTTGAGAGGGGGTTCTTTTTTGTATTTGCGCCGGAATTCGGGCCAGTAGAGCTTGGGCGTGGCGTGCTCGGCGAGGAAGGCGAGGTAGGGGATGCGCGGGTCCTTCTTTTCTTCGGTGGCGCGGAGGGCTTTGAGGTGGGTGATCTTTTCGCAGGACCACTCCTCCCAGACTTCCTTGCGGGCGCGGGTGGTGGGGAGCACGGTGTAGCGCGGGTCGGGAATGACTTTGCCTTCTTCGATGAGCTTCTCCCAGGGAGAGTAGGGGTTTATTTTGAAGTCGTCGAGGAGGTCTTTGAAGAGGGCGCGCGCGTCGGCGTCGGAGAGGGGAGGCGTGTCGTCGTATTCGTCGTCGGGGTTGTCGTACTCCATGTCGGAGCCGTATTCGGCATTCATGGCGGCGAGCTGCGCGGCGATGTCGGCTTCAGTGAACTCGGCGGGTTCGTCGTAGCCGGGCTCTTCGGTTCGTTGGCGCTTCGGCGCGCTGCCTTCTGCGCCGTCATCGCCCTCGTCGTCTGTGACCTCCACCTCTTCGTATTCCGAGCTGTCGTAGTCGTGGGTCTTCTCATTCTCCGATGTGTGTTTTGCGATTGGCCCTGCGGAAGCTGTTGCTTCGCCAGACTCTTCCTGCGCCTTCGTCTCGCCTGTGGCCTTTTGTCGGATGCGCGCCTGGTCGAGCTCGAGGATGGCGGGCATCAGCTTCTCGGGGATGCGCCAGTAGCTGGCATTCTTGATTGGGTTGTAGGCAAATCGCCGGCCGTATCTTGTGTAGACGAGGATCCACGGTTCGCAGCCCGGAATGGCTACCTTGGACTTGGGCTTGTCGACTGGCTGCGGTCGCGGTCGGGGTTGGAAACCTCCCCTGCCCCCGCGCTCCGCCCCGAAGCCGCCCCTCCCGCCGTGTTGGTGGGCAGGAGGAGCGGCATATTGCGACATGAAGGCATTGGCGACGTTTGGGTCGGAGAGGTTGATCGGCGGGGGCGGGGCAGGCAGCGGCGCGCTGGGAGCAGCGACGGGGCGTTTGTACGTCGATTCTTTTGTCTCGGCATTGTAGTAGTATGTGTGCCCGGTCGGCGCTTTGTGTTCCGACCACCCCGGGGGTAGCGGTTGCTGAGAAGCTGCAGAGGGCACGTACGTCGACTTTAGCATGGTGTTGGTGGGAGGAGCTGGCCGTTGCTGGAGGTGTCGAGGAGCAGCTTCGCGACCATCACCAAAAATTGGAGTGGGTCTGACGTTGCGACGGGAGTTGCCGCAGCCCCACCATCCACTCCCACTGCCCAGCATGGAGCTTAACCCAACCCGTGCCGAATTTCATCGCGGACGTTACTCTTGAGAAAATCGGGTCTCGGTATATTCCTTACCATGTTTAAAGCTTTCCATGTCAGTGTCTCAGTTGGCCCTCAATCCCGGGTGCTACGCGCCACAGACCGCTGACATGAGCGCGGGCAGCGTATTCCGAAGGCAGACCCCACGATACGAGCTCGGCTGCCTCAGATACGCAGTCCATCGTGAATGCCTTTCCGCAAGAGATGATGCCTGCAACCTAATAACGGTGCCGCATGCTGGCAGGTTGGGTGTTGGCAGGGCAGTTGGCGACCAGGCCATCGCCAACCCGCCTGGTAGCCAATCACGTTTCGAGAAGGCAGGATGACCATTAATAATCCGCCTCGTCACATCTCTTGGGACTCAATGTCATCCTTGACGCAAAACGTTGGGCATCAGAAGCTAGCGAGTGTGTCCTTGTGCATAAGTTTTAGCAAGACTCCCAAAGGCATCTCACGATGGACATCTCTTTGCCAAACTCTCGCCTCTCATCAGAAGAAGCCATGGCCAAAACACGGAAACGGACCACCAACCTCCCACAGAGGCGATGCTGGAATTGCAGGTGTAAGTGCTCAATCTCGCCACCGCAACTTCCCACTAATCCCAAGTTCAGCCCGCAAAGTTGCCTGTGATAGGGCAGACCCAGGATGCAAAAACTGCGAGCGCCGCGGCATGCAATGTCTCGGGTACGGCCTAAAGCTGTCATGGCCACGCCCCAACGATACTCGCAGGTTTTCCGAGGGGCACCAGCACAGGATTCTCACCATCCGGTCAAGGAAATTGGAGTTCATCAACGCCACCAGCCACGATGTCGAGGTCAAGAACGGGGCACGCCGATTTCCATCGAGACGAGGGCATCTGACCACCAAGTCCGTGACGCAAAACGACAGACTGGACTCCATGGCCAGGCAACTCCTCAGGGCATCGATACCACGGGATCCCTACACCAGAGGGATGGCCAACTTTGACCCCTATTTGGACACGAACCGTGAGTATTGCCCTTCACCAAACCGACCAATTCTGACCCGGCTGGACAGGATACAGGGCGGTCTCAGCTCTTGTGTCGTCGACTTGTGAGAACATGGGCGAGGATCTATACGGGCTACTGGTCAGAATGTCTCTTGGCGACGACCACCCACCTGCACAAGCCACCCGACACGCTGTGGCTGCAATTTCTTACCATCACGTCGGCCAGGAAGAAGTCGCTTTAACTCACAAAGCAAACTCGATCAGCGCTCTTCACAGGAGTGTTGAGCGGCTAGGCTCAGGTGATTTGGACACCAAAGAAGCATTCCAGGCCATGGCAGCAAGCATGCTGCTGAGCGTCTACGAGGTGGGCATCTTGTTCTCCTGTTAGTAGCCATCATTGACCAGAACAGAGCCTGTATTCGAACTCGTCGACTGTGAGCTGCTCTGTCTTCCTTTGCGGGAGCAAACAGCTGGCCAGCTCGATCCACACGCCACATGCGAGCTATGAAGGAGACTCTGCCATGATACTCGACTGGATATTTTACCATGACACCATGTACAAGTTTAGCAGTCGCCACTGGCATGCCAAGCGCTGGGAGAACCCGTTGATGGAGGCAAACGTTGTAGTCTCCAAAGCTGCGTTCTCTCCCATGCGTCAGATGGTATGTCGCCCATTAGTTCTGCCTGTCGCATGCGCCTGCTAACTCTGGCATTTAGATCCTCGCAAGCGCAGGCTGCTCCCTCGAACTCCTAGATCTGCTCTCCCAAACCATCTCAGCTGTATACGACCGCACCGATCCTCGCCACCTCTCACCCTCCCACCTCTCCACCCTGCGCACCCTCGACTACCGCATCAAGAACCTGGTCCAAGTAACTCGCGTCGAATCCATCTCGTCGAATTCCTCCGACTCGCCCGAACGCACTTCGCATTCCCACAACGCCGCGCTCTTTTACCGCCTCGCAGTACACATCTACCTCCTCCGCGTCGCGCAAGGCCTCCCGCTCTCCTCGCCCAAGGTACACTCACTCATCGACTCCGCGTTCGAAACCCTCTCACTTCTTCCCTACTGCGAACGCCCGTGGCCGCTCTTCGTCGTCGCGCTCGAAGCTCGCACGGAAGACGAGAGGAGGCTGGTGTTGGATAAGATTGAGGCAGGCGTCAAGGCTAAGCCGTTTGGGAATATGTGCGCTGCGCGAGAGATGGTGACGAGGGCGTGGGTGCAGAAGGACTTGGCGATGGATGGGAGTGGGTTTGGGGAGGGAGAGGGGGATATGTCGGGGGTGTATAATGCTGCTGTGAGGGGGTTGGGGGGGATGCCTTCGTTTTCGTAGATGAAGGGGTGATGGTTGGTATCGCGGGGGTTGGATTTGCGCAGGGAGTAATTTGGGCGCAATGTGTGACGAGGAAGCGGAGGTTCGGTGCGGAAAGGGGTTCAGGGGCAAATGGCGGGCGCTTCAGAGGGGCAATTCGCAAGACAAGTTCACTGCCCTGCTGCGCCAATGCACACCAACCAGAATGCGCAGAATGTGTCCCATTTCTCTCCTCAACCTTAGGTACGGTTTCGCGATCCATCTCAATCCCAACACAAATTACATTCCCGTCATCGTCCCCCTCGCAACCCCTGAATCCCTACAGCGCCCGCACCACACCGTCACAACCAAACGCAACCCAATTCTGCGTTCCCGTTCGCACGCCCTCAGAGTCGAATATCCACAGGCAAAAATATCGAAAGGCGAGATGGCCGAGCGGTCTAAGGCGCCACGTTAAGGACTTCCTTAATTACATCATGGTTCATGATTCCGTGGTCCGAAAGGGCGTGGGTTCGAATCCCACTCTCGTCAAGCGATTTCTTTTTGGTATTTTGACCTGACACTTCAACTTTTCCAGACCTTCTCAAAAAGGTTGCGATTTCTTTTTACTTCTTTTTTGGATTCGCTCGGTTTGTTCTTTTGAAAGCTGATAAAGCATTGGCGTGTTCTTTGGAACTTGAAACAGGGCTTGGGGTGAGGGACAAGGTGGATATCAGATCGCTTTTCAACTTGCACTATCTCATTAACTACAATTTTGCTTCAACTCCTGACAATCCTCCCAGACATTCATGTCATAACTCATCCTGGCCCACAACACTCAAACTCCAACCCCATACGCCTCTGATCACCCCTCCTTAAACCCCCTCAAGCATCATCGAGGACAAAGCCCCCAGTGCCCTGATCAAGAACAAGTCTCATTCTTCACCCCGTCATTCCCCCCACACCAGATATACACCCTGGAAAACACATCCGACGCATTCGCCCTATACCGCGTAGCGCACCACCACCCCGCGCTCGTTTCCTTATCCTTACAAAACGTCAGACAGCACCGCGTATCATCCGGAAGCCAGACATAGCTCCGCCTCTCGCCGATATCGAAAAAGCCCTCTTCTTGCATGACTTTTGTGGCGTTCCCGCCGTATTGCGGCTCCGAAAAGGCTTGGAAAGCGAGACCGCGGGGAGCGGTGCCGTTGTTGAGGAATAAGGGCGGGGATGGTTGCGAGGAGTGCGCGCGGCTTCCGACGATTCCGCCTGCGATGGCGGCGGCGAGGATGATGAGGGTGGCGATGGTGAGGGTTATGAAGAAGGGGCGGCGACGGAGGCCGCAGATTCGACGGGGTTTTTCATCTTCCTTTGGGGGAGGAGAGGGGGGAGGAGTACCCGGGGAGGATCCGGCTTTGAGGGAGTCCCACGGGACGAGGGTAGTTTGCGTGGTGATGGTGTTGCAGTCGGCGGAAGACCAGGTTGCGATGGGGGTGTCGTCGGGGGTTTTGGGGTTGGAGCCGTCGTCAGGGAATTTGGGCGTGCTGTCGAAGATGACGGGGTACTTGTCGCGGTCGGCGTTTTGCCAGTCGAAGTCGGCTTTCTCGGCCGTGGCGAGTTGGGGGGAGGAATCGACGTGGAGGGGTCGGGAGGTTACGACCTCCGGGAGGTTCTCATCTGAGGGTTTCTCCGAGATAGCTTTCTCCAGGTCTGCTTTCTCCAAGTCTGCTCTCTCCAGGCCTGCTTTCTCCGAGACTGCTTTCTCTTGTGGGGCGGCCATTCTCGTGATGCAATTGGGATTACTCAGTTTGCTGGGACATCGTCACGACCAAGCTGCGTGTGGCTGCGCAACAAGGAGGGTGGATTCTTACGGGAGCCATTGTTAGGATATAGGACAGAAGCGTGCGTTTGCGTAAACCGACCACTTGCCGGGACACCATTCGCGTAAGACGGTGCAATATAATTGCAGCGTTAGAGTAGCCTGCCGAGACCATATCCAGCGCGGTACCAAAGTCAGTGACACCACAGCGGCTCTTCAGGTGGTTGGTGAGAACACACCCGGTGGGTGCTATGGTCAGCAGCTGCCCACACGAGCATCGTTTCACATCGACACCAGCAACAGTTGTGTTATTTGCCCACTGGAGCACACGGAGCGGCGAAGTAGTTGTGCAATCTGTTCCTTTGAATCTCGCGAGTGACAGAGATATGCGGTGATCCGCTCCAACGAGATGTTTTCTTAAAAAAGATTGAGGGGTATCGGCGGGTTGTTTGGTTCCATGTCTTGTCCCGCTCCATTTTCCCGGTTTTGATGAAACGTGGCGACGCGCGATGACTAACTGAACAGAAAGCTCTGCCCAAAACGACACGAAGCAATTGAGAATCGAAAGACATCTAAAACTCTTGTGATGATGTTGGCAGTGGGTGAGGCTCTGGTGCGGGAGGGAATGCTTGTCTGAATCCGTCGCGCCGGGAGGAGTCGTGGGAGGGCGCAGCGCCGCTCACCGCAGGGGAGCTCAGCGGCCCGTGGTGTGGAACCCGCCCGAAAAGCCGTTCCGCCATCCTCGTCGGGGTTGAGTCCTGGAATGGCATGTGATGGGACCGAAGAGGACTGTACCACTTGGCTCAGAAGGGGAATGCCTATTTCGGGACCAGTGTCGGCGGCAGTGCGACGCGGACTTTGCACGCTCGTCTCGTCGTCTTGGCTAAGGACGTTGACAAAATCCCCTCGGGTGTCCCCTCCCCGTTCAGCGAAGGTCGCAGGTCCAGGCCCACTTGAATGCAAGACGCTCGGTTCATCGACAACGAGCAGAGAACCGCTGCCGAGAGAAGAAGGAACAGTGCCGGCTGTCGTCGGGTCCTGTGGAGCTGGTCCGTATTCGGCCCCGGATGGCAGCAAAGCCACGGGCGACGGCGGGCTGCTAGCTGGCCGGTTGCACGCCGCTGGTGGACGGCATTGGCTCCAGTGAAGGCTGCAATAACTTGCTCATTGCCGGTTCGTGCCCATAGTCGTCGGAGCTTCGCTGCGCAACAAAAGAACTGGAAAGACTGGGCATCGAGGGCCAGAAACCGAGAAGATGCAAGGACCGAAGTCGGCTTTGAAGAGCAATGCTTGCGAGCTCGACGAGATTTTCCCATGCCCGAAAGAGGGGTGGCTGTGGGTGCACGAGGGGCAGTCGCGTTGGACGCTGGAGAAGAACTGTGGGGCTGATGGTTCGAAACTTCACGCTTGCCAAGCGTCTTGATGCGATGGATAATCTTATCAGATCATCAGATAGACAGGGATTGCGCCATCAGGACAACCACCCCCACCAGTCACCACCCCGGTACGGCTGCAACACAACAACTCCAGACCTGTGGACAGCCTGCACTCTCCTCCACCGGCAAAATTCGCTCATGGACGGCCCATGTGCTGCCCCAGCTGTCGCTGCGTTTCACGACTCGGACCAGATCAGGCGGCTCCATCGTGTCCAGAGCGAAGCGAACGACACACCGCAGCGTGGGTTTCCCGCCACTTAGGTTTACCACAGCTTCGGTATGTGCCAGCTTTCTCACCGAGATGGGATACGCTGAGATGCAGGACTGCCTTTCCCCGCCTCCTTCTCTTCGGATGCCGCACCATCCCGCTTCTCCATGACCATGGCTGGTCCGGCTGGATCCAGGTCGAGGCTCGGGCCACAGGCCCCCGAACCAGGGTGAAGGGCGGTGCTGCCGCCGTGTGTCGCGCCAGAACGAGCAGCTGTCATACGATCTGATAAACACCCTCCATTCGTTTCCCCTCCCGGACAGGCGGGCCAGAGCGCAAAGCCGCTCGTCGGAGCATGGCAAAGCGAGCCGTCGGTGGAAATGAGTGGGTGATGGATGGAGGCAGGGTCGGATTTTTCGCGCTGGGCGTCCCCAATGCCCCACTTTTCCATCTTATCAGATCCGAAGATAACGCCGATGCCGCTGACCTTGCTGGGATCCCCGGCAAGATCCTGGCAGAAATGGACAGGCCGTGCAGAAGCGTGCATCACTGCATCATCAACAGCGCTCCCCTTTACCCCTTCTTGGTGCCTTGCTTCCTCCTCGCCATCTCTCAGCACCCGCAAGCGACCATCCAGCCCGTCGATCACAGCCCGGCCGTGACGAAAATTTTCACCATTTCCCCCCCACAACATCAATTAAATCGCGTCACCCTTTTCTCGAAACAGAATGGACTCCGCAGCGGCACGCACGTTTGGCCGGTACTCGACCCCGAATGATGCATCGATTCGCCTGTTTTTGCGGGATAAAGCGGAGGCGGCCGCGACCTCTTTGTGCCCTGGGTAGGGGTATTCCATCGAGCGCTTCCGGTCGTCTTCCTCGGCTTGCGAGGGTGCAAGCGGAACAAACTGGGGCGCGTCTCCAACAGCCCGGGCTCGGTTTCTATCAAAACGGCAGTCACGGCCACCGCTGATGCTCCCGTTCCGTCTCACCCTCTGTCCACACAATTCCTGTCCTCGCCCACCCTCCAGGCTTCCTTTGCCACATAGCCATTTGCATCCAGCCATTTTGCTGCTGTGGAGCGTGGGAGGACAGCCAGCCAGAAACAAGCCTCACCCACCCTTACATTCCTCAGCGTGCTGCCGTCTGGGCTAGGCTCTGCCCGCGACCCCGAGACCCTCCGTCACTTCGCCCGAGCTCAGCAACTACTATTCTGCCGCGAATAGATATCGTCATCTTCTCTGCCTCACAACCAACAAGCAATGTCGCCGCACTTCGACATTGACACGATGGGCAACTCTGCCTCTTTGTCTGCCGCCGAGCAGATCGGCAATGGCTCCACGCCCGACGTCATCGATTCCACCTCCCAGCAGAACGGAACTACACACACCGTCAAGGCTCTGAATGGCCTCAATGGAGTTGCCAACGGAGTTCATGATGACGTTCCAGAGCTGGTGAATGGCAATGCTGCACCCAGCGCCGCTCCCATCGCCGAGACTCCCGCCGTGGTACACACAGAAGATATTACCGTCACCAAGAGCCCCTTTGTGAGGCCATCGGCGCCAGACATTGTTTACGACTTGGTCTGCATTGGCTTTGGGCCGGCGAGTCTTGCCATCGCCATCGCCCTTCACGATGAGATGGAGGCTGGACGGTTGAAGACGCCGCCCAAGGTCCTCTTCCTGGAGAAGCAGGCACAGTTCGCCTGGCACGCCGGCATGCTGCTTCCGGGCGCGAAGATGCAGATTTCATTTATCAAGGATCTCGCCTCGCTCCGGAACCCCCGGTCCAACTTCACTTTCCTCAACTATCTTCACAAGAACGACCGACTTGTCGAGTTCACCAACCTTGACACCTTTCTCCCGGCTCGTGTTGAGTATGAGGACTATCTCCGCTGGTGCGCGCGTCACTTTGACGATGTTGTCAAATACCAAAACGAAGTCGTCTCCGTCTCTCCTGTCAAAGAAGACGGACCCCTCAAGACTTTTACCGTTGGATCCCGGAACATTGTCTCTGGGGAGATCACCTCGTACACAGCCCGCAATGTTGTCCTCGCCCTCGGTGGCCAGCCTTCTATCCCGAAGTCT